CAACAAAACAACTACATGGAAAACACAACATACAACACGATCACATGTCAAAAGAACTTACTTATAAATGGCTTGAAAATGGACACCTCTTCTCTGAAACAGAAGGATTTCTCCTCGCAATGCAGGATCAAATCATAGCTACACGAAACTGCCGAAAATACATAATAAAAGACTCAAACGTATATACCGACACCTGCATAGACCATAATCACTGGTGGATGTAAAATGTTAGCGGGTGTAGAATACACCGAAAGACACAACATGGCAGGGAAAATTATTCATCAAGCACTCGCAAAAACATATAAACTCATCACAGACGAAACACCATACTACAAATACTCCCCAACCACGATCATAGATACCAACGAATACAAACTAAACTGTATTGGGTCATAGAAATTCGCACCGATAAAACAATAACATGCAATAGACCAGACATCGTTTTCCAAAAGAACAAATAACCTATCTATAGACACATCCATACCCGAGTCCATACCAAATCACCCTAATATGCAGACCAAATATAATGAGAAGATAGCAAAGTATACGATACTAGCCATAGAAGTTCAGAGACTCTGGAAATAGAAAAAAGTTATAATCATGCCATTCATCATTGCAACCACAGGCATCACCCCCACACATCTTTAATGCACATCTCGAGCAACTCGGTCTCAATCCTAACATTACACAAACATGCAAAAGTCTGTTAGCCTTAAAACCTGCAATATAGTATGCTCATTCCTCAATTCGGGCAATAGACTCTGAGAAGACTTGGATAAGAGCCTGTTATCTCAGAAACACCAGTTTGTGCAAAGTGAGAAAAAGAGAGATCATAATAATAATAATAATAATAATAATAATAATAATAATAATAATGAGCCCAAAGCGGGATGTATTCGACAACGTATGGCATGGACAGACGAGATGAACAAAACTGTCATGCGCTGTTATTACTTAGCAACTAAACTTGAAATTATCAAAATAGGATACCGCTTAGAACTTCATAAACTTTTCGTTAAGCAATACCCACATCTTACCAACATGTAACAGCACAACGACTAATGGACCAAAAACGTGTAATTATAAACAACAAGAGACTTAAAACACATGAGCTGCAAAATATTAAAGAAGAAGTTGGAAAAATAATCATTGAAGAGCAAGTGGGAAGCCATGAACATGAAGATATCACAGTAGAATCACCACATCAAACAGAAGAATCACATGACAAAGAGTTCATTTTATTTCATACTCCCAGTGAGCATATTACAAAACCACCTAAATTCTCGAAAACATACAACAAAATTTGACGCGGGAAATGGAAACAAATATGACAATATGGAAATATAGTGACCCAACAAAACGCCCACCTTTACCTCGGCCTATCTTTAAACGAAACAGTCACATTCTTATAAAAATAATGAACGAACAGATCCTCAAAAATCATACAAAACCGGAATGCTCTCTAGAACACCTTCAAACAATAGTATTCTCGCTTCGACCGTTCTAAAGTGCAATGATCAAAAAATAACGGAACATGCTTCATATACCAAGAATAGAACACCAAAAAAACCCAAATGGCAAGTGAGGATAGAACAAAGAATACAAAATCTAAGGCAAGGCATAGGCAGAATAACACAATATCTGCAGGGAAACCGATCAAGAAATATTGTAAAACACATTAAAGAAATAATAAAAAATAACCAACAACCAATGCCAGAAATTCTTGATACCTTTAAACAGAAACTTTTGGTGTATGCAGGACGTCTACGTAGATACAAAGAATCAAATGATAGGAAAGCAGATAACCTATATTTCAACACAAACCAAAAATTATTCTACAATAAACTGACGAAAAAAAGGGACACAAAAATCACACCTCCTACCGTAACAGATATGTCATCTTTCTGGAAGAGCATATGGTCTGAAAATGTAAAAGACAATAGTACAGCAACATGAATTAAACATGAAGAAGATAGGCAATCGAACGTAAAAGAGCAAACACATTACAAAATTACTACAGAAGAATTACTCGCAGTTATACGTAAAACACATAATTGGAAAAGCCCAGGAACAGATCGAATACATAACTTTTGGTATAAACAACTGTCGGCGCTTCACCCATCCCTCACATCTGAAATAAATAAAGTTATTTCACACCCTGACTCCCTACCGGCGTTCTTAACTGAAGGAAATACTTATTTAATACCGAAAGGTAATGACCCAAAAAACCCAGCCAATTATAGGCCAATCACATGTCTACAAAATCTTTACAAAATAATTACTGCATGCATATGTTTAAAAATAGAGGAACATTTAATGGATCAAAACTTACTTACAGAGGGGGGAGAAGGGATGTCGGAAAAACAGTCAAGGATGTAAAGAACAGCTAATTATCGATAGTGTGATAATGAAACAAGTCGAAAAACAGCACAGAAACCTACATACATCCTACATCGACTATATAAAAGCATTTGACACGGTCCCACAACTCCCACACTCTTGGCTAAGAAAAGTATTACAAATCTATAGAATACACCCAATACTCTGCAATTTTCTCTCATTAACCATGACGAAATGGAAAACAAAAATTCATTTAAATACAGACAATGAGCATTTGCAAACAGACCATATACCCATCAACCGCGGATTTTTCCAGGGCGACTCGCTAAGTGGACTGTGGTTCTGTCTATGCCTAAATCCTCTATCTAACGCTCTAAACTCAACATCATACGGATTCAACATAAAGCACAAAAATAAAATAAAACACAAAATAAACCACCTACTCTACATGGACGATATCAAAATCTATGCTTCAACAAAAACACAAATGGCAGGTTCACTTAAAACTGTAGAAGATATAACAACAGACATCAGAATGGAATTCGGCATGAGTAAATGTAAAATGTTAGTAATTCAGAAGGGAAAATGGAAGGAGGAGATATCAGATGAAACATTACAGAAGCAGACACTAAACAAAATGCACGAGAACGAAACTTATAAGTACTTAGGATTTGAGCAAAATACAAGGCTGGATCACACTCTCATCAAAAAGGAATTGCTAAGGCATTACATTCTTCGTTTAAAACTGCTCCTTAAATCCAAATTGAACTCGAAAAACCTTTTTAAAGCAATAAACACATTCGCTATATCCCTTCTCACGTATTCCTTTGGAATAATCAAATGGACAAAAACCGACATAGACAAAATCCACCAATCCACAAATAAACAACTCACAATACACAGGAAACACCACCCTAACGCCTGTAAAGAGAGAATGGTCATAAGGAGGGAAGACGGAGGAAGAGGACTTATAGATATTCACCTACTGCATGCAAGACAAATAAAAATTCTAAGAAGCTTCCATGGTAAATCAAACCCCCTACATGAAGCAATATCACTAGCTGACAATGGATATGCACCACTTAATCTTTCAGAAAAGAACTATCCTACAATATGCGAAAAAACAGATCGTGAAGAAAGAAGTGAACAGTGGGCACAGAAAACACTTCATGGGAAACACTTACACATAATGAATAAAGAGAATATTGACAGACAAAGCACATATAAATGGTTACAAAAAGGTGAACTGTTTCCAGAAACTGAAGGATTCCTACTTGCTATTCAGGATCAAGTGATCGCCACAAAAAGTTACCAAAAACACATATTGAAGAATAACATAGATAATGATCTATGTAGAAAATGTCACCTACAACAAGAAAATGTAGAGCCAATCATAGGGGGCTGTAAAATTCTAGCAGGAACGGTATATACAGAAAGACATAATATAGCAGCAAAAATAATACACCAAGAAATTGCGCTATCACATAACCTTATAAAACACACCAAAGCATACTACCAATATACAGCCGAAAGCATTCTCGAAGATGAAAACTACAAACTATACTACGACTTGACAATTCACACAGATAAAACAATACCGGCCAATAGACCTGATATAACACTGGTAGATAAAAAACAAAAAACAACCTACCTTATAGATATATCTGTTCCTGCAGATATTAACGTAACAAAGAAATACAGTGAGAAAATAGAAAAATATATACCCCTAGCAATCGAAGAGAATCTGGAACCAAAAAAAAAAGCATATATTATTCCACTAATACTATCAGCAACAGGAATTACTCATGTGAAATTCACGCAGCATCTTGAAGATCTACATCTAAAACCTTACATTCACCAGCAGGTTCAAAAAGCGGTTATCCTGAAAACAAGCAGCATTGTTAGATCATTTTTAAAACAATAGTAAAAACGTCATACAGACTTGGTAATTTTTACCAGTTTGTATGGCTATTATCCGGATATATCCGAGAAAAAAAAAAAATAATATTTAACCAGGCACAATGCCGTCGCTGCCCAACTCCATTGGAATATATGCAGATAAAATATATAAGTCACAGACAAATGGTACCAACATGAGCCTGATCCTGTTGTTAATAATGAACAGACAACACTAATATGGGACATGCAGATACACACAGACAGACTCATCAAAGCGAACAAACCAGATTTAGTACTAAAAGACATAAAGAAGAAAACATGCCTGCTGATTGATGTATCCATCCCATCTGATTATAACATTGTTCAAAAGGAAGCAGAAAAGAAACTAAAATATACAGACTTGAAGATCGAAGTAGAGAGAATGTGGGCAATGAAAACTAAAATAATCCCAGTAGTGGTTGGGACTTATCAACAAAACATGTCAAGCTTTGAAAGAACTCCCTGGGCAACACACCTTGCAGACCATCCAGAAGACGACATTGTTAAAAACAGCCCTCATTTTGCGTAAAGTACTATGAAACAATGTGTGAAAAAAAGTTCATTCACAGGAACATGGTGTGTACTCTGTGGCTGAAAAGAAAAAGGAATAACCATAAGTGCAATTTATGTGATAGAATGGAAAAATAATAATAATATTTATGTTATTTTATATTTTTATCAAGCAAAAATCATTGTTTTATAACTATAATTTTGTTTTATAGAATCTTCGTCCCCGAGTTCAGATAAAGACGATAAGAAAGCGCCAACTCCTGTCCCATCGTCGGTGCCGGCGGAAAAGAAAATAGTAAGTTAATTGTGAATTATATTTAGTATCAAAAATTATTTTGTATCTCTTCCAGCCAGCCACAGACAAAAAAGAAGACACGGCTGTTCGCCGATCATCGCATGATAAAGGTCCCGCTCCACCTCCGCCTCAGCTTCAAACGCAACACTCGCAGGATAAGGAAAAAGGTCCTGCTCCATCGCCACCAGCAGTCGTTAACCAATCAAATCACGTTGCTACTACATCTACAGCTAGTAACTTCATACCTGCAGCTAAAGAAACGGAGAAATCAGCTTTGGCAGTTCAACCAGCAGCAGCGTCCAGTAGTAGAGAACAAAATCCATCCTCTAGTCCCACCCAAACCATGCAGGGCGTGGCCCCGCCTCCGCCACCTCCACCACCTGTTTTGCCTAGTAGTGTTACATTGCCGACGCCGCCCTCTTCGCCTGTTACACCACCTGACACACCTCCTGATGTTGAACAACCTTTAAGGGTTGTAGATATCCCCCTTCCAGCTACACCAACTGTTGAAGGTGAAAATAAACCGTTGAGGAAAAGTTTTATTTTTATTAGTAATCCTTTCTCCCTTGCTTAGTTAAATCCAAACCTGAAACTAGTAAAGATATTCCAGACGATGCCAATAGCAGGTCTTCTCATATAGCCCATATAAAAAGAGTTTTAGAGAGCCAGTTGGGAAAACGTTTATCCCAAGAGAGAGTTGCTTCTGTTGAACGTATCAATGAAAATATCGTTACTGTCAATAGTTCCAAGTAAGTTATTTTAGTAACATCTCTACACACAATTTATTTGTTCATTTTAGTGCCACTACTCCTGAAGATAGCATGAACTTTGTAATAGTATCCACTCCACAATCTGAAAGGAATAAAAATACATCTACTATAACTATTAACTCAGATTTGCCTGATCCGTCCAATAGTTTAGCATCAAATATAAGCCAGGTAAAGTTGAACATGATTTATTGCTAATATGTAACGGATATGCCCATTAAATTACTGCCTTACTATAACAAAAAAAAATCAATATTGCAGGTAACTGTTGTCACCACACATCCTCCAGTTATCATTGATAACTCGCATATGGTATCAAGAACTTCTTCAGCGTCTCCTAGTAATCATAGTTCGAGTGAAGTGGTTATAGTGGCCAATGAAACCAACAAAACTCACATAGAATCATCAGATGATGAATTTTGCCCCTCTCTAGATTCACTAGAGTATCCACCGCCTAGTGAGTTTAGAGACAAACCTGTAGGAATTAAAGGCAAAAAACTGGACGAGAGTGAGGTTTTGATAGCGGATTCCAGCTACGTCATTAATGATTCTGGTTTGAGCATTTCGGAGGATAATTCGAGATTATTGGATACTAGTCATGTTTCTGTAGTTAAGATAGATGAAGAGAAAGTCCAGGTCAAGGTAAGAGTAGGCTTATCAGAAAAATTATATTATTTGTTTACACTTATAATTTTAGGACTCTACATCTTATATAATTGATAGATCCGCTGGTGGTGATACTTTTAGAAGTTCAACTAGTGACTTGTCAAATACAAGTTCTGGGAAGTCTGGTAGTACAAAAAGCGAGTATGGAGATGAAATTAGAGGTAACATGTAATAACTTGTTCTAGGCAAATAATATAATTATTTTCTTTGCAGGTACCTCTATAATTCTTGATAATTACAAAATGAATGGTAGAATAATGCATTCTCTGAGCAGCGAAGATAATTACAAAAGGCACGCGCTGAATGGAAAAATGAATAATTCTGATCATTATGAATCGGCTACAAGTGATAGGTATTATATTGTGTTAATTTTTATCCTGGTATCTTTTATTTTGGAGTTATTGCAAAAATCATAACTACATGATAAAGGTGTGACTGTACTTTGAAAGGCTTCAAAAATACAAGGCTCCAACTTTAGTTGAAGCCCTATTAATATTTCCTAACTATAACACATTTTATAAGGTTCCAGATTTACTCTAAACTATGCTAAGAGGTTCTAAAGTTAGTTAGAAGTGCCTAACTTTATCACCGAAAGTGTTATTGATAATTATGAAAGCCCCAAATTTACTTGAAACTCCTCAGATTTACTACAAAGAGACTCCAAACTTAGTTGCCAAGAAAATTTTATTACAAAGGTTCAAAATTTAGTTAAAGCCGGCAAAACAAATCCAAACTGGAAAACGAAATCAAAGGTCTATGTTTCAGAGTTATTGTCATATAGATATACTCTAAAACATTAGTCCAATTTGCTGTTTGTAAAAGTATTCCAAAATGTCCATTTTCAGGTCGCACAGCGATTGCGGTTCAGTACGTAGTACAGATTCGCATCACAGAAGACCAATATCGGTGAATAAATCAGACATAGAGAGTATTTCTATAGCCAGCCATGAAAGTAGAGGAAGTAATGAAAAAGATTCAGTTAAAAACGATGATGAAATTGAAGAACACGTAGTTGTATTGCGAAAACCCCCAAAAACTGCCTCACAAACTGCTGCCATATTAAACAGGAAGACTCGAAAACGTACTAGAAAATTTATGATTGATGGAGTTATGATAACGACCACGACGAGTAAAGTTATTTACGGAGATGAAGATAATCCAACCTGGGATCCGTTGTTTAATAGAAAACAAGAACTCAGGTGAGTTATTTTATTATCTTGGATTGTATAAAATGAAACATCAATCGTCTAGGGAATTGAAATACCTTCAAAAGCAGGAGCAAAAGCAATTCCAAGATTTGGCCAACAAAGAAAATTTAGCTTTGGAACAGCAAGAGCGCAAATTTGAACAGGAAAGGCAAAATTTGGAAAGGACTTATGAAAATGATTTAGAATTACTAAGTAGGCAACAAAGGTAAGGCCCAATGCCCAATTGATAATAGCAGTATCACCAAGATAATTTCTAATAAATTTTATTTCAGACTGCAAATAGAGAGAGCAGAAGCTCATCAAGATGCAGATCTAAGAGCTACTTCCAAAAAAATTAGAGCAGAGCAGGAGAGAGAGCTTAAAATATTTAGAGATGGCTTAAAACAAGAACTTAGATTATTAAAGGTAGGACATATATAATTATTTTGTTCTAGTTAGTTAAATATTATATTTGTTGTAGGCTGAAGTAGATTTATTACCAAAAGAAAAGCGGAAGATTGAATTCAAGATAAGAAAGGAGAAGATGGACGCTGATCACTCAGAACGGGAGAAATCGTTTTTGGAGAAGTTGAATGAAAATCATGAAAGTTCTTTAAGACGATTAAGTGATTCCCATAGGGAGAAGATTGCTTTAATGGAAAGACAATTCTTGCAACAAAAACAACAACTCACTAGGTCATTATTCTCAAGCTCATTTTGATGCAATTGTATGCATGTTTTTTTTTCTATTTTAGGACTAGAGAAGCTGCTCTATGGGAAGTAGAGGAACGTCATATACACGAAAAACATCAGCTAATGAAGAGGCAAATTAAGGATATATTTATCTTACAAAGGTAAATTTGCATCTTGGTAAGGTTTATTTTTGTACTATTTTTTTTTAGACATCAAATGTTGACAAGGCACGAAAAAGAAAAGGAGCAAATCAAGAGGAGAGCATTACGAAAAGAAGAAGAGCTTCTTAAGAAACAGTCAACCGAAAAACGTAGTTTGCCCAAGCGAATAAGATCAGAGATGAAAGCTCGAGAGGCCATGTTTAGAGAATCTATGAGGATATCGATTTCGGGTGCTAGCGATCCTGAAATAGAAAAAAATAAATTTAAAGAGGTATGTAACATCGTTCAAAAGAAAACTGGATTTGTGATAACATAAAATTTTTAGTTTCAAGAAAAAGAAAAGAAACGGTACCAAGCTGAACAACAAAGGTTTGAACTAAAACACCAGAGGCAATTAGAAGAATTGAGGTGAGATTGAAAAAATAAATACATAGTTCAATATAAAATAAAATTCCATTATGTGGTATCGTCCCTGCTTTACGTAGCAGTGAAAAGGAGTAGCAGGAATAGGACAGTAAAAAAAAGACGTTTTTATCTATTCAGCGACGTTTCGACCATATATTTTGGTCTTCTTCAGGCTAAAAATATGGTTTACATAAGAAATTGGTAATAAAATCAAGAAATTCAAAGGGAAAATTGATCAAGTACCGAAAACTCTAAGTAAATTTAAACTAATATGCATTTTAAATTGAAAGAACAAAAATCAATTAAATCACTAAAACATTGAGAGAAAAAAAAAAATTAAACTAATCTGTGGACATTTAAAAAGTTCGAGAAGAAAAAAATGTTAACAAACAAGGAAAATAATGTACAAAGCAAAAACTACATAAACATTAAAACTATAGGGAGTCAACATATACCTTCCAAATATAACGTCTTTGCTAAAAATTCCAAATACATATAGGCACATAAAACACGAAGCTGGACATTACAGTTAAAATTTTTGTCGAGTTTTTATCGTCTGTTATATAATTTAAAGAGTGTTAATTTTAATGCTCGACTTTGTTCAAATCCCAGTCGAGACAAGAAAATTTTTCATCAACTTTTAATTTATGCGTCTGCATGCCACTAAAATTAACACTCTTTAAATTACAGTTAAAATCAGTCAAAATTTAAAATTGAAAATTAAAATTAAAAATCTATGCAAGTCAAACAAACACGCCAGCAGCAGAGCGGTTCTCACAGTGAATTGGTTTATTGTTGGGTATAGACTTTGGAGAAAGAGAAAACGGAATGAAAAAAAAAAAAAAAAAAAAACACTAAAGACCGACGACTTCTCTGTTGATAATTACTATAGGAAATAGAATCTTTGATTTTAATATGATAGTTAATATAGAACTTGTCTCTTTGTCCTATTTAATAGGTTGCTAGAAATATTGCTGAGGTTCGCAACGTCAGTTCTTAGATTGATATTATTGGTAATCTGTATGTATATCATCTCACTTATGCAACGCTTCACATAACCTGTTTCCTTGTCAAGAATTTTTACATCATTAAAATTAAAGGTATGGTTTGTAAGAAAATGGTGTTGTGCCAAAGCAGATTTTTCAGCCTTCATCCTGTATTTCTCTTGGCAGTCATATTGGCGTTGTTTAAGTCTATTGCCCAATTTTTGTTTTGTTTGACCTATGCACTGTTTGCCGCAAGTACACGGTACTGAGTAAATATTAAACTGGTCGAAAATTGGTGTTTTGTCTTTGAGTCTAGAGAACAATGTTGACACTCTGAAACAGTTTTTTAAGCTTATGGGATAAGTTGGGAACAAACGGCAGTTTAAAAAAAAAAAAAATCTTGGTTAGGTGGTCTTGTGTTGGGATGTGAATCAGTTGAAAGCTTATGGCGTTTCCGAAGAAAGCTATTGATGGACTGGTTGATGAAGAACTTAGGGTAATTGTTCTGATGTAAGAAAGAAAGAAAGAAAGAATTTGCTTTATTGTCAGAAAATTTTACAATTTTGTGGACAAAGCTGAAAAAATAAAAAACAAAACATACAAATGTAAAAGCACAGACAAAACCAAACACTTGAACAAATAGTTCATGGTCAAAATTTGATTAAAACTAACAAACAAACATCTAGGTCTAACTGCTTATACTGTGCGAGTAAGCATATTATAGGTACTAAAAAAACAAACAAACAATAACTTATAATAACCTATCATGATACAGGAACAAAAACAAAACCTGTGAGTAAGCTGCTCAAAATTTAGAATTAGGAAACCATAAACAACTCGCTTACTGTGTACAAGGCTCTCCTCAGTAAATACACCCTCAACGCCCTGCGAAATTCGAGAAAAGATGCAATGGACCTGATGTTAGGCGGTAGATGATTATGCATCTTTTTAGCATTATAAAGTATTGAACTTTTAACTAACTCTGCGCGGGATTGGCAGATAAAGATCCAACTCTGCGTTCCTCAGTGGATAATTGTGAGATGGCCTCTCTGAGATAGCTGATATTAAGTGCTTACGAATTAAGCAGACGGATTCGAAAATAAATAAAGATGGAAGAGTCAATATACTAGACTTGATAAAAAATTCCCGGCAGTGAGTTCTACTACCAAGTCCCAAAGAATAACGAAGAGCTCTCTGCTGCAGTCTAAAAATGCGTTCAAATTGAGACGCACAACACGTGCCCCAGAATGGAAGGGCGTAACGCAAATGCGACTCAAAAAGAGCATAATATACCATCCTGCAAGTTGCCGAGTTAAGCTCCCTGGAAACAGATCTCAGTGCAAAACAGGCCGAACTTAATTTCTTTGCTAAGGCGTCGATATGCAGGTCCCACTTCAGAGATTTATCAACAACAAGCCCCAGGAATTTCACGGAATCAACGGCCTCCATGGTATTGTTATCCAGTACTACAGATTGGAGCGAAGCTGTGTAAGATAAAACTTTGGTTTTAGAGAGGTTGAGGCACAGGAGATTTGAGTCACACCATGATTTGATGGTGATTAAGTCACTAGATACGGTTCTATGGAGTTCCGTAATATCCGGGTTGCTCCAAGTGAAACTAGTATCGTCTGCGAAGAGACAAACTTTGCCGCTAATATCCAGACTAGCAATGTCGTTAATAAATAGCAGGAACAAAATAGGGCCAAGAACTGAACCCTGAGGCACACCACATTCAATTGGTTTACAAGAGGACATGGTCGAGTCCACCCTCACAAGCTGACTTCTGTTACCAAGATAAGACTTAAACCATTCGAGAGCCATTCCTCTGAAACCGTAGAACTGTAATTTGTTAATTAAGATATTATGATTAACACAGTCGAAAGCTTTGGAGAAATCACAGAAAATTGAGGCTGTAGAGTGGTGGCAGTTCAGGCTGGAGTATACATTATTGAAAAGGGAAAACATTGCATCATTTCATTAGTACATTTGTTACTTAGGAAACCGAATTGACTGGTAGTTAGAATATTATATTTAGAGAGAAATGATAGAAGCCTCTTTTTAACCAATCTTTCTATGATCTTTGATAGCGTAGGAAGGAGTGCAATGGGGCGATAGTTTGAAGGTAGCTCCTTATCACCTCCCTTATGCAGTGGGATAACTATCGCCATCTTAAGACAGTTTGGAAAAGCTCCATTTAGAAACGACTTGTTGATCAGAGTAGTAAGATGTTTTAATGTGCAATCAGGAAGATTAGAGAACATTTTGAGGGTGAGTCCATCAGTCCCAGATGAAGATTTGTTTTTAATATCTTTGATTGTACTGCGAAGCTCTGGAACTACTACAGGCGTGAAGAAGAAACTGTGTAAGTTCACCTTAGCATTCGGGAGATATGAAAGTGGGTCCTGGGAAGGAGTTAAGGTATTCACTAAATTCTTAGCCACATCAACAAAGTAATCGTTAAGGATCTCAGGTGAAGTAGGAATTTTGCTAGATGAAGAAGCCTTATTCCTCAAGTCATTAACAATTGACCATGTTTCTTTTGCAACATTTTTGGAGTTTGCCAGCCTCCTATTATAATAAATGTCTTTGGCGGCTTTTATGGTTTTCTGATAGACTTTTCGGTATAATTTTACGTAATCATTGAAGAAGACGCTATCCGAGAATTTTTTTAGATGAGACAAGGATCGCATATTTTTTCCAGAAGTACGCAAGCCACTAGTGGACCATGGTTTATGCCGTTTGACTTTGATGGGTCTGAGAGGAAAGGATTTAGTCGCCAGGTCAGATAGGGTATTTATGAATCTAGAGAACTCGGAGTCAACATCATCTGAGTGGACGACCCAGTCAACTGATAAGCAAAGTTGACTGAAATTTAAAAAATTTCCATCCGAAAATATTCTGCCCAATTTGCGGGAAGCACCCTTACGTAAGGAATTCAATGAGAAATTCGTTAATACTGCTTCGTGGTCAGAAAACCCTGCACTAAAAATAGAGCAGTTGACCAATTCTGGATCAAAAGATGAAGCGACATAGTCAATGGTAGTAGAACTAGTTTTGGTTATTCTGGTTGGAGAGTTTACATGCATCACAATCCCAAAGGAGTCGAAAATGGACTGGAGAGATTCTTGAGCAGCGCACACACAGGAAAAATTTATATTATAGTCACCACATAAAATTATTTTGCAATTCAAGGGCGAGGAGTCAAGCAAGCTCAGCAAATTCCGACAAAACATGTGCGCGTCTGTGTCCGGTGATCGATATAAACAAACAATATAAAGGTCAAAACCACTATGATAGACGATGGAAGATTCAAATACACTGCCGAGCATAAAATTAGGGTCACCACATAATTTGCAATTATTTTTGAAATTTTCAGTTTTTGCGAATTTTTTTTTGGATGTACAGTTTACTAACTTTATGTGATAACTTTATCGTAGTTGCTTGAATTAAAAAACGTTCTTGTTGTTTTGTCCCAAGTTTATTAAAGATAATACAAATGAAAACTTTAATTTGATTTTTTCTCTAGTCAAATCAAAAGAAATTTTAGGAACTTCAGTAGCGAGTATTTCCTCCTCTGGCATTGATAACAGCTTGCAAACGACGAGGCATGCTTTGGATCAGATTTTGGATGACCTCCTGGGGAAGATTTTCCCATTCCTGCATCAGTATGTTGCAAAGCTCTCTAGAGTTTCTAGGGGCCGGTACATGTCGCCGGAAACGTCTTCCCATCTCATCCCAAACATGCTCGATGGGATTCAAATCTGGGCTTCGAGCAGGCCAAACAAATCTCACGATTTGAACTTCGTCAAGATAAGCATTAACAAACTGAGCAGTGTGGGGCCGTGCATTATCATGCATAAAGGTTGCGCCTTCTCCAAGAAAACCCATGAACGGTACAACATGGTCTTCTAGAACCTGTGTGAGGTACCTATGTGCATTTAAAGTCCCATTCTGGATAAAGGCTAACTCCGTGCGAGCATGGAACGAAATCCCTCCCCATGCCATAACTGAGCTTCC